GCAAGTTACTAACCTTCTCTGCTCTTCGTTTTCTTTGCCTTTACATTGGAATAATAATATTATTATCTCATAGGATTATTGTAAGGATTAATAAAATGATGTTTGTAAAGTCTATAGTATGTGCGTGGAATATGGTAAGAGTTCAATAAATGTTGGCTATTATTGTATTATAAATATTTATATTCATATTAGTTGATGACCACTAGCATAGCCAGTCTAGATGTGTGAAAACTCACTTCTATGAAAAAGCATTTGATAATTAATTCCCTATTCCTATTATTTCCCCATTTCAACACTGATCAATTCTTCTAAAGTTCCTTAATAATTTCTATGATCGTGGCAGTTTTTCTCTCAAATCTTGAATGGCTTTTAGACTCAATTTAAGGACCAGTTTGCTAGAGTGTTGCTAAAAGAAAATGCATCTAATTCGCCTAAATCAAATTAACTCCTAATACACAAGGGGATATGTTTAAGCAGTAAACAGCTGATAACATAAACACTTTCATTCTCCTTGTTCCATGTGGACTTGAACTTAATTATCAAACTTACATTTACATGTTCAAACAAAGCACACACAATTAGCACAATTTAAAAAATGATATCATCTTCAAATGACTTAAATTACTTATTCAACCAAGGGATGATACCACATCTTTTCAACTAATTTAACCCAACAAGTTGGTTTTATTTTCTACCCATCATGGGGTCTTTGGATGGCTTTTTTTCTTTTTTAAAAAATCCATATCAAGTCTCATTAGGAACACTGGTCATATTTTGAACTAAACACTAATGTTGCAAGACACTTTATAATTCAATTTCTTCTACATGCCAGTCACAGCAGATCTTTCATTTTCAATATAATGTTATTATCTATTGAGTCCTAAAGCAAAGTCTTGTCATTGAACACATATGTGTGGGTGAGTGTGTTTCACATGCAATCAATTGTCACATTACCACTGAAATGGCTCTGCTTGTTCCATCCCCAACTTTCCAGCAGAATTTCTCTTGTCAATATCTCTAAGTTGGAGATTTATAAGGTGAAGGTATTTGTTAGGCCAGACTTGGTAATTTATAAAGGGCCTTTCTTATGTCCTGATACCTGGGTTTGACTTTCTGCAGAGTACGTACCTCATCCCTAAAGGACATGGTCCCCCTGTTTCCCTTGCTTCATGCTCACACAGTCATGGTTCTTTGTCTGCAGGTGATGCCTCCTGTTACGTAAAGGGCAAATCTCTCTTTCCCTGTGGAGTGTCTCATAACTGGGGCTTGGAAGTTAACAAACCTGGGGTGACGCAAATCAGAGCAAGATGCTACCCACTTCCATTCATCTACCAACATGCACTGCCCTGGGATCCAGGAGGGAAAACCAAGATTAGCAGCACCCAAAGAGTAACAGTCCAAACATTTACTGACTCAACCACTCTTCGGAGATGTTAGTTTTAGTTGTGGCTGTTACTTGAGTGGCATGGGTGGAGGGCTGCATTCCAGACAGAAGATCTGGAACCAGAGGACCCCACACCAGCTGCTTCTTTCTCGAAGAAGCCCTGCCTTCCTTTGTTCTTTTATATTAATGGACTTTCTCTAATGATCTTCAGGATGGTTCTCACTCTTGCTGATTTCTAGGAAACATTGGGGCGGGAGCGGGGAGATGCTCCTTTCAAATCACCTTTCTGCAGACAGGTTTCTGATCTGATTCAAAGCCACATCCTGGACATCTGGTTTCTGTAGCTCAAAGAATTACTGCTCCTGATAAATTGCTCTGAGTTCTGAGGCTACTGCTGTCACATTGCATTCTCTGACCATTTTCCAGTTCCTCCAATACACATTTAGAGGTGCATATGCACGCGCGCACACAGAGCAACTCATGAGACTCCATTCCCATGTAGTATCCAAATAAGTTTCATGACAAAATACACTGGAGAGAGCTAAGCTAGCACAGCACCTGAAGCATATAGCAGATGCTCAAAGAAGGTGCATTAAATGAAAAGTTTTGGAGCCCTGGAGTGAGGATGGAGGTGATGTTGTACCTCCAAACCTCTGCAGGTTCTCATGGAGTACATGCCAATGGCAGAGTCAGATATGAGGGGTGGAAGCAAGTGAGGGAGAGACACATTTTAAACCTCTCAGCAATTGGGCACTTGGGAGAAGGGAGTGAATAGTGCACTTCCCACCTCTGGATAAGTACAGGCCAAGGTTGCACAGCCACTTGATGGGGACACTAAAAAAAGAATTAAACCTCAAATGGGTAGTTGAATTGGAACAACTGAAAAGAGAACAGAGGGATAGAGGGGAAGGAAATGAAAGAATAAAATTTTGAAGGAGATTGGAAAGAAGGCCAGAGGCTGGGGACCATTCTGTGCATGTGCCAAACATTTGAACAGAAACTGGAACATTCCTGAGAAGGCTGGTATCTCAGTGGGCAGTTAGCAGAGTGTCTCAGAACCCTGGTCCTTGGCCTCCAGCACCTACTCATTCCTGTTCTGTGGGCTGAGCCTTTGGGCCCAGCCTTGCCCAGGAAGCACAAGGTTTAGCTGAGCAGTTTTTTCATCCCTTAGGAAGCTTGGCTTAGACAAAGAAGGGGCAGAACTCTCAGCTGCTATGCACTCAGGATCCTGCAGTGTCCCCATGAGGGACCCTACTCTTTAAGACAGGGAGGGACAGGAAGGAGTTCTCCACACGGGAGACCCTTGGCCAGAGGATTGGGTTGACCAGAACCACTGAGAACTCACTGGCCCAGTCACGCCTGTTCCCAGATGCAATCCGGTGGGTGGATTCCTGAACCATTCCTAGGAAATGGGCCAGTTCCTGCCCCCTGCTCAGAGGCAGGATTTGCAGGTAAAACAAAGGAGCCCACTTCCTGAAAGATGATATTCCTGAGTTGTGTCCCTGGCTGCAGGGTTTGGGCTGTGACCAGGAGCAGGGCTCAGGCTGTGGCCTTCAGAAGGGAATTTTTCTCTGAAACAGCTTTGCTGGTCTGGGAAAGAACTTGGGCTCAGGTCCCGGCAAGTGTTGCAGCCACCACATCTGCCACCACATCTGCCACCACATCTGCCAGGAGACAGGCATGGAGCTGGATTAGGGTTCTGGGCGTCTGAACATGGGCCTGTTCCACAGCTTGGATTGGTCCAATTAGGAAGACCTGTTACCCATACAAAGGGTGAGAGAGAAGAGATTGGAAGCAGGAGGAAGGGAGCGTAAGGATGGAATCCTTATCTGCTCCCCTCACTTGCGTTCCTTTCCTCTTCCACCTCCCTTCCTGGCCACTTCCTATCCCGCAGCGAGGTTCAGCTGAAACGCACAGGCAGCACAACCCCAGCACTTTAGGCTGGTCAGCACAGCATCCCACTCTTGATCCCTCTGTCTCTCCTGTTTCCCACCCAAGAAGCCCTGATTCTAGTACTATGCAATCAGGGTGCTTTTCAACCCTAACTCCACATGCGCACCACCTTCGCACACCCTGACAGTTGTCCTTGCATCATTCACTGAGCATTCCATGCCCACAACACACACTCAGTAGATTGCCAGATTTCCCTTTTTCTGCTCGACATCACTTGCCTGCTCTGTAGTTAGTGTTTTTTGTGACTTCTCTTGTGCAAGTCACAACAGCCTTGTCCCTAAGAATCCCTCCCTTCACACACACACCCTGGCTTCTCAGAGAACTGGTACTGAGACACAGAAACTAGGCAGTCCTCATACACGCACACACGGCCCCTCCCTCTCACATCGACAGTGTCAACTCAAAGAGGATGTATGCACTCAAGTGCAGGTGCACAGGCACACACATTCCTAGAGCTCACGTGTGCAGACACCCATCCTCCCTTCCTGAGAGCCCTCCCTACTCACTTCCAGCCTCCCCCACCCCCTGTGGTTTCCTCCCTCCATCCCGGAGTTGGAGGCACCAAGAGCAGGGCTGGATGCCAACTCTGGCAAAAATCACAGGATGGTCAGACGAACACGAAATCACACAAAAGATCCCAACGGGAGGCTCCTCGGGGCTCCTTCCTTCTGCAGTTTCCTCCTTCCTCCCCCAGGCTTCCTCCCTCTGTCGCCCGACAAAGAGTCACCGAGCTCAGTTCAAATCGATTGTTTTATTGACTGTGTACATACAGACGCGTTTAGAAAAGGGCGCGGGCTCCGGAGGGCTACTCTGCCCCGGGCCGCGCTTGTGCTGCGGTTCGCCGAGGCTCGTACCCCCACCCCCACCCCCACCCCACCCCCACCCCGACGCTTTCCTTCCAGAATGAAAAAGGACCCAGACCCGAGTCGCCGCGCCACGCCCACCCTCCCCGCCCACCTGCCTGCCCGCCCGTCCCCCTACACTACACGGCCACACTTTACAGGACACAGACTTTTCTCCTAAAGAGCGCGCTCATCTAGGACTACACGCCGGGCAAACACTATTCTCGCGGGAGGGGGGACGGGGAGGGAGGACGCGCGGACCCAGGGGCTTTTCTCCATCCCGGTCCCGCTGCACAGTCCCGCGCAGGCTTGGTGCGAACCAGGGCGCAAGTCCTCCGAAGACACGCGGCCTGGGAGGCCACAGTTGGCTTCCTCCGCCCACGGCGCTTTCCGTCTGGGGTCTGGACCAGGAGGAGCCGTAGGAGAAGCGCTGTAGGGCGCAGCGATCTCCAGAAACCCCAACACACTGACAACGAAATTGGCCCGGGACCAAGCCGGCGCCCGCCACCGAAAATGGGCGCGCGGTCCCGCGGCGCTTTAAGTTAGGAGAGAAGCGAGAGACAAGGGATTCCCTCCCCCAGCCCCCCGCCCCCAACGCCCCCCCCCCCCA